CCTAGGCTCCTCTGCACTGTGTTCTGTGATGTCACCCAAGCTTCACCCAGGTTCTGCAGCTGCCCTTCCTTTTTTCCTACACCGCTCTCCTTCTAAATCTTTCTCTCCTTCCTTCCTTCCTTCTTCCCTTCCACCCTCTCTTCTTCCCTTCCTTCCTTCCTTCCTTCCTTCCTTCCTTCCTTCCTTCCTTCCTTCCTTCCTTCCTTCCTCTTTTCTATTTTGCTTCCACTTCTGATCCTTTGAAGTACAGCTACTTGGTTTTGTTTTTTAAACGCAAATTATATTAAATCCTTGCTTAAAATTAAAATTGTTCCAGGACTTCCTGTGCCCGTAGGAAAAAGTCCCGAAGTGTCAGCTGCACTTGCCTCCCCTGCCTCCGAGTGTCTGAGCTGCTCAGGGCTGTGCTGGTGTGGTCCCGGGCCTCAGACCCCGTGAGGAATGAAATAGGCGTTTTATTCCATCGGCTGTGCTTACAGTTAATTTTGATACTGCTTTCCCCGCACAGCCTGAGCATGGCGCCTGTCCTGCTCTCAGGACTTGTTGAGCCAGCTGTTCCCTCGTGGGCTCATGTGAGCTCTCTGAGGACAGGGGCCCTGATTGCCACGGTGTCCCAGGTCTTGTGGAAGCTCAGTAAACACTTATTAATCTTTGGTGCCCTTTCCCTGTTGTTCACTTACGCCTGTATCTTGCATTGTAGTTTGGGGCTGAGTTCCGAAGGTTCTCCTTAGACCGCCAAAAGCCTGGGAAGTTTGAAGACTTCTACCAGCTGGTTGTGCACACCCACCACATCGCCAACACCGAAGTGACCATCGGCTACGCAGATGTGCACGGCGACCTGCTGCCCATCAACAACGATGACAACTTCTGCAAGGCGGTCTCGAGCGCAAACCCCCTGCTCAGGGTCTTCATCCAGAAACGAGGTACAGCTTCTCTGGCTCGGCACTCATCTCAGCGCTGAGCACAGTTCCCAGTTTTGTCTGTCATGACAGAGCCTGAGACTTTGTTTTCTCGCTGGTGGTAAGAGACGAAAGGAATTAACATTTGTTTGGTAAACATTACTTTATTAGAAAGGCTCAAAAATATCTAAACGGTATTTTCCACTGTAGTGTTGACTTCTGATTTGTAAATACTGAGGAAAAAAGTAATATGGATACTTTCAGTATTTTAACTGGAAGCAAGTTAATTCAGTAACGAAAAGGCCTTAGTCAGTAACCCAAGAATGAAACTTAAGGTTGCCAGTATGTTTTCCACTGTGTTTTTGGGGTTGGAAGAAGATGTTAGTTTTAAATTGTTACTTTGGTTAACTTGAGCTCTGAAGACCTAGTTTTGCTGTGACAACATCAGAGCCACATTTTTGATTTGTTTTCTCTTCGCTAAGTTTGGGAGAGCGTTAACATTTCAAAATTATATACCTTTGAACAACATGGGGGTTAGGGGTGCCAACCACCTTGCACTCAAAAATCCACGTATAACTTTTGACTCCAAAGAGTGCTGCTGTCCCTGGGCACTTACAGGGGATCCATTCCAGGACCCCCTGCTGGTACCAGAATCCGGGGATGCTCAAGTCCCCTCTATAGGACAGCCTAGATCAGTGAATACGGTCAGCCCCCTGCATCCTCGAACTCCTAGCCACAGATCAGAATCGGAGCAGGTGTTTATTGAAGGCCGTCCACGTGTAAGTGGACCCACAAGGGTTGTTCAAGGGTCAACCGTACTGACGGAAAGAACCCCCTGAGGTGACACTTGATTTTCGGGAAATGGAAAAATGGCGTTTTATGGTTGACTTGGTCATGACTGTCCCCCTTCTCGGAGGGCACCTTCTGTCACAGGTGAGCACTGGGTGCCCTTAAAGAACAGAGGCCTCGGGGAGACCTGCAGCCCATGTGTGTGCTACTGTGACTTTGATCTTAGCAGGAGGGGACGGGTCCTGGTCTCTGGATGGGGCAGAGCCTAAGCACCCACTAAAGTAGCAGCCAGAGCCACGAGTGCAGGGGAGGCCCTTGGGGACACGGGGCCTGGGGCTCGGTGCAGCAGGTGCTGCTCTCCCGCGCAGGTTGTCCTGAGGTGAGCGGCAGCATGTGCACAGCTCCGGGCACACTGGCCGGTGGTCCGTGCTCCGGGAATGAGCTGTCACATCCTGTTTGTAGTGACGGAGGGAATGCATGTGGAGAGGGAGCACCAGGAGACCGCTGACCTCACTCTGGACTTTTTTCTGGCACAAGATCAGAAAGCTCCGCTTCTGCGTTCCAGACGTCAACACAGCTGTCACTTCCTCAGGTGGCCTGGGGGAGTGGCTGAGGCGTAGGACCCTCTTCTGCCTCTGCAGGCCCTGGCTTTGCAGTGGCTGCAGCATCCTCCCTGCCCCTGCGGTCCCCACCGCACATCACGTGGGCAGGTGTTCGCGCCCCCCTCTCAGGAGGGCCTGGTCCCAAATGCTCTACCTAAGGCGCCCTCCTGCCCATCGTCTCTCTCTGCTGTGGTTGCTCGCTGCTCTCAGGGCTGGCTTGTCCCACAGCTCTGCCCACACAGGTCGTGCTGTCGGCTCACTGGTGTGGGAGGTGAGCAGTGGGTGTGAGGCGCCACGTGGACTGCAGGGGACGCGGGCTTTGTCATCTGTGGGAAGGGAACGCGTCTCTGTACCGCTGCGTGTGGGCTGGGCTTGGAGCAGGACAGAGGCACTGTCTGCCCTTTACGAGGCCGGTCCTCATGACACCTGGCACCCTCGCTCTTGATTCCCCGACGCTGAGACACGGGAAGCTCCGGGTCTGTGTGTGCAGGTGGGGTTGCATTAACTTCCAGGCTTTTCCTCTCCGCAGGGCCGAGGTCTTGCATCCTGTCTTCATTATTTACTTTTCCTCCTTCCTGTGGCAGCAGAGAAATAGCCCAGAGATGAACGAGCTGGCTTACGGTTCCGATCCCTCTTATTCTCAGTGTGAGCCTGTCACCTGCAGCCCCTGCCTTTCTCTGTCATGTGGCAGCAGGAGCTCAGAGCACCTGAGACTGCCCCTTCAGCACCTGCTCCCTGGCTGACCAGCGAGCCCTCCTGTCCTTAGCCGAGGCACCCACCTCAGGGTGTTTTCCGGCTGACACGGGAAGACGTCCCCGTGTTCACAGCCGTCAGTGTCCCTGCACAGGATCGGCAGGACCCGCCAATAGAAGTCACAGACGTGTTCATATCGTGTTAGTTGTAGCCAGATATCTTGAATATCATTGATAGTTAGTCATTATTTTAAAACAGTGGTACAGATTGTTATTTAATGTGTTAGTGAGAAATCATATACAGTCAGCCCTCCATGTCTGTGGGTTCCACATCCATGGGTTCAACCAACTACAGATCGGAAATATTTGGGGGGAAATGTTTTGTTTTTTTGCTGATGTGCTACACAGTGAGGCCTCCTACAATGACTGTATCTATACTAAACACGTGCAGACTTTCCCGGTCTTTCCTTAAACAATACAGCATTATATAGCATTTAAATTATTTATATAGCATTTAAATTGTGTTAGGTTTTATAAGTAATCTAGAGGTGATTTAAAGTATATGGGAGGATGTCCGTAGGATATATGCAAACACTAAACCATTTTATATAAGGGACTTGAGTATCCATGGATTTTTATATCGGGAGGGGGATGGAATCCTGGACCAATTCCCTTATGGATATTGTATACATATTGCTTTAATATTTTGATAGTTGTCTTCAAAGTGATCATTTCCTCTGTAATCCCATGTATTTTACTTTATGCCTTTAAAAATGCAACCCCAAGAAGGCATTCCCAAGCACTATGAGATGGCTGAGGGTTCTGGGCACTGGGGCAAGGACCCTGTTGCAGTCAGCATTTGGGAGCTCAGACAACAGGCCCGGAACCAGTCAGGGGACTTTTCCTGCGGATGCTGGGTGGTGTTTTTGCCCGAGGGGCAGAGGGTCACCCCTTTGGCTTCACTTCTACAGGCTCTTCTGCATTTACTAGACTTCTGAGCCCTCTGTCCAGGCTGGGCTACTGTTAAAAGCTGTGGGGTTTTGCCTGGGTTAAATAACAGATGTTATTATGCCTTCACTTTCATGCTTTGCCCATTTTAGTAAGAGAATAAAGCAGTCAGAGGCAGCATCGGGAGTCCTGTTTGCATATTTGGGCGACAGACCCAGCCAGTGTCAGGGAAGCCCGTCTCCCTGTGCCCTGCGGACGCCTGTCCTTCCCGAGGAAGCTGGCCCGGCCAGAGAGAACGCAGGACAAGACCAGCAGAGATGCTTGGAGTGTCTCTTTCTAATTTTAGCAGAATAAACAGGAAGTGCAAATACCCATCGAATAATTACTTCAACTACCCTGTGCCTGTACTTTTGTTATTTAAGAGATGGGCCTCTTTACCTCTCGGGCCCCAACCCAGGAGTAGAGGTGGGATCCTAATTGAATTTCATTTGCTCTCTGTCCCTGGGGTACCACTGCCCGGGCATCAAGAGGAGGTTGATGAAGTCTTCATTATACTACAAGGCTTTCGGAACAATTAGAGTGCTCTGAACTGTTTACTTTTAAACTAGCCTAAATATAGCACACTTGCTTGTATCTGTTAACTGTTCTCTGGCAATTCTTTGGGTTTCTCAAATGAGGAAGACACATTTATAAACTTTTTGATTTATCAGAAGTTGCATGATTGGGAGCTGGGGCGAGGGTGTGTGTCTGTTTGCTTGTGATTCCACTTAAGCGAGTTGCCAGAAAAAAAGTAATTAAGGCATGTTCTTCCAAGTAAAATGTATAGAATTATTGAGGGTTTGGGTTAGACATTGGCAGGATCTTGTTACCAGGCATATGAATCCTGATGATGATGGCTTTTCTTGGACTCTGTATTAAAAGTAGCTGGAGATGTGTTTGGTTTTAAGTTGGAGGCTCACTGTGTAGCAGGAATTAAAGCTGCCACCACTGAATTTCTGTATCCCCACCCCGTTTCATTCTTCCTCAGACGCGGCCCAGGCTGTCGAGGCTCTTTGAGTTGTGAGTAAAGGTGTAGGTTTGCTGGGTTGGGCTCCTCATGTCCCTACACCCTGGAATCTGGAGCTTTTTCATGAGACACGTCTGCTTCTTTAATTGTCACTGTGTCTTGGAAGTTTGAGTATTTGAAGAATTTCTTTCCCTTTTTTTTTTTAAATTGAAAAAAGGGCAAAACCTCTCCCACTGCCTCCCGTGGGAACATGCAGAAAACAAAATGCCTGACCCAGCGCCCCCCTTCCCCCAGGAGTGGGAGTGATGGGGAGAGAATGTGCTGATGCAGCTCGTGAAAAGGAAAACAAAGGCCAGCCGCCCACTGTCCGCAGAACCCAGGCCTGGTCCTGCGGGCCGGCCTGCAGGCTCTGACCAGCGCAGTCCACCTGAGTCTGGGGCTGCCTCTTCCCCTCCAGTCAGAGTTTACCCAGTGGAATTGGATTCTACTTTTTTCTTATTTTCTAGTCATATGTCCGTTCACACAGTCAAGCCCAGAGTATAATTTATAATTTGGATTCATGCATTTAAAAACTGAACATCACAAATAACCATGTCCTCTGTCATAAAGTTATTTGTAAAACTGTTTGTTTTTAAAAGTCTTTTCTGTTTATAACATCTTCATAAAAGAAAACTCAAACAGTGTGGAAGCAACACTGCCTGGAGGTGATCACTGTGTCCATTTTGGTGATCCCCTCCAGACCCGTGGTGCGGACAGTCCGTAGGACCTCGTGGTACATAAACGGGGTCATAATATGTGTCCTGTAGAGATTATTTTAACCTAAAATTATATTTTTGACTTTCTGTACATATATGTAGATATATATGATCCTTTTTTTTTTAATCCTCACCCAAGGATATTTTTGCCATTGATTTCTAGAGAGAGTGAAAGGGAGGGAGGCGAGAGAGATGGGAGGGAGGAAGACAGGTCTCTGTGTCCATTTTGGTG